TTATACGTATTTTATCATATTCAATCATATTTGAACAATAATATGTATTTTATAATTTTTTATATTTAATATTAGAATATTTAAGAAGCTACGGTCTTACCTAAATGAGGTTAATTACAATTAAGTTTGCTCAGGCAAAATCAGAAATAATTTGACATATTACCCAAGTATGGTGGGCAGTTCACGTTTACCCGCGCATTTCTGAGGTTTATACATTAACTAACTGTTAACTAAAATAGCGTACTATATAATATATAGGTGCAACTAAGGTAAAAATTCTAGGGAAGGTTATAGCCCCGAACAAATTTATTTGTTTCCATTTGAAATGTTATATAACAGGGGTAGCCAACATGAATAGGTTCACGGACCACATAAATACATACAATGATACCATTAGCCAAAATGTTTATATAATTTGGTTATTTTTTATAAGCTAATACCTAAAAATTAAATTTTATAATAATATTAAGTAAATTTTGATTTTGTAAATAAAACGCGAGCCGCATCTGACAATGACGAGAGCCACATGTGGCTCGCAAGCCGCAAGTTGGCCACCTATGTTATATAATATTATATTATACTTATTATTAAAAAATAAATCCAAATAATTGTTATTCTATTTATTCTATATTCTTTGGATTTTCAATTTATTATATTTTTCCAATACATCATTATTATTGGAAATATCTCTATCAATATTTATAATGGTTAAATTTGAAAACCTATCTTGTACCATTGTTCATTAATGTTCTTAACCAATTTTAAATACATCACATATAAGAGAGATCTTATCGGTATGGTTAGAGCTACTTGTAACATTTATCCTCCTTTACTATTTGTTTAATAATGTCTAATTCAAAATTGTTTTTTAAATTTAACATTCAGTTTTAGCAAAGAGCATCTTTGCTATCATATCATTCATATCCTAATTTAAAATTGACTAAAAACCACAAAATGTTCAATTAATATTAATTTTTATGTATTAACTAAATATTTTTAAGTTTTCAAAATTTACCTGATATTGATTTATAAAATATTCACTGTTTTTTATAATATCCATTTTGAGAAAACTAAAGAAATGGCTAATAATGAGCTTTCAATTGAAATATAACACAATATGCAACATTGATAAAAAAACATTTTTGTCATCATTGATTACTTGACATTGCTGATAAGTCATCAACTAAATTTGCACAAAATAAATTTAAGTTACATGACAGGAAAACTGGGGGGACTTAGCCCCTTTTATCCCCCAATAGTTGCACCTATGAATATATATATAATCAGTGTCGTATTTGAATATTTTGTGCCTCGGTGCAAAAAAAAAAAATTGGCATCCATCAAAGGGTCCTACACACAGAAAATATGGGAGATAGATCTTCATAAAATTTAAAGATTTTGAGCAAAAAAAAAAATTACTGAATGCTTTTTTTTAAAAATATTGTTTAATAATTGCATAATCTTCTTCCCCCTTCGCAAAGATATATTTGAATGTTTGTCACTTTAAACTTGTTTATTATTCATTATAAAAGTTGTTTTTTGTGTTCTAACAAAGTTTGTTTACCATTTTTATATCCACTTAATATTTTTTTCCTCTCATAATTAAAATAATATAAAACAAATATTTTAATAAATAATCAACAGCACTACCGAGTAGTAAAAGAAATAATACGTAATCAATAATCACATTGACATAATTTACAAGTAGGTAGTGTAGGTACCATCGAACCTTGGTCTTTGAACGCTCAAGTTTGTTCATTGTTTATAAATAACAGTATTATAAGTAATAAACTAATAACTAATAATTGTATTTTTTGTTAATAGGCCCGCCGCCCATAGACATATAAAACAATTATAAATTATAGGTATAACATTATTATATGTCTATGGGCACGCGATATCAAAATATGTTGTATTATTATAAATAACCTATGTCTATTGACATTTCAATAAATTTGGGAAAATGTTTTAGGATATTAATAACTCTTGACCGCTGATAGCTATATTTCTATAAATACATTAGTAAAGTTAACACTTAACAGTATAATATTATATTATATAATACTGTTATTAAAATAATTTCAATCATAAAAGTTTAATTGTCACAAGTGAACAAATTTCTAACTACAAAATGTTGGCACCCCCAAAATACTGGCGCCCAGGCAGTTGTAGCCACTACCCACTAGCCGGTGCCCCCCTTTAAAATACAGCCCTGTAAATAATATATTAGTCTCAGTTTTATATAAACCATACACTGAATGACTATATGTATAAATGAAAATAATACAGTACTTATTATATATTATTAAGTCTATTGAAAAGACGCCACACCCGAACGTGTTGTCTCCGTCTTTTATATAACATAACAAATTTTCGTTCTGCAAAATCCATTTTATGTTGTTAGCTTTAATATTAAAGTAAATTTATTTATTATCAGACTTAAAGGTAAGAATTTTATCTAGGCCATCATATAGTCTTTTATTAATATTATAATTTTAAAGTGAATTATGAGCATTTTAAAGTTTTAATATTTTATATAGTTATAATTCAGTTTAAAATATCAATATCAAAAAGCTAATGTGATTATTGGGATTGCCTAGATAAAATTCTTATCTTTGAGTTAGATAATCGGTAAATTTACTCTAATGTTAAAGCTAACAACATAAAATGGATTTTGATGAACGAAAATGTATGTTGTACCTATGTATGTAAGATACTAAGCTAGAGATAAGACGTGCAGTTGCTGCGTTCTCTTAAGCGATTCACCAATTCAACAATTAAATTCGCTCTAATTTTCGGAATTTTAAAGTGTGCCTATTAAAAATTATTAAGTTCTATACATGAAAATGAAAATAATTAGAAATCTATAATATTTAAGATGTTCTTTGTCAATCTATTAAAAATGTTTTATTGAAGTAACACCCTTTCTCACTGTAAATTGATAAACAGATGATTTTTTTGAGAACTGAATTGTCTTAATTAAAATTCGAACTAGTAGTTTCGGTCTTTCTGAGTTATTAAAATGTTTTTTAAGTTATAACTTAGTATAAAGGTTAATTATCCTTTTTAAAATATAATTATTAAGTATCTTTTTAATCTAGTGTTTATTATACTTATTACTTAGATAGGTAATAATTATTAAAATATATTTAATAGATTAATAAAAATTTGGTTTCTAGTACCTACTTACTATAAGTTTCAATTAGTATCGTTTCTTCCAAATCAAAGTATTATCACTATTATCATGGACATTGAGTAATAAGTAGATATAAACTTATTATTTTTAATAGATATACAAATAAATAACTCAAAAATACTTGTTCAATGTACATACAAAAAAATTAGATATCAAAATAACATGTATGTAACAATTTACAAAAAAAGTTAATAATTCTCGTTAAAAAAAAGGTTTATGACAGCACACTTCTTAAATAGTTAAAAAAATATATAAGTAATTCATAATATGGTGTTTGAGTTCCTATTCAAGCAATAAGTTGGTATACTTAAAAATTCCAAAAATAAGATTTTGAATTACAATCAAAATTAGTTATTAAAGGAAAAATGGGGGTAAGCATGATTAAATAAATATGCATAAAGCTAAAACCTTTATCAATTATATTACTTAATATTTATTTAGTGGTAATTTGTGGAAAAGATTTTATTATCTTTATGCGTGTATTTAATTTCATAGAAATATGTATTAGTTATTAGTTATTACTTATTAGACTATGATAACTGATAAATAATTTTCATGACGCATAGTACATGGATACTTGTTATAATAATACTTTTTTAAAATTATCATGCGAAATGTCACGCGAAACCAACAGGTTTTGACAAATCGATTTTATCATTTTGTCTTAATTTAAAAATGAATAACTTTGGGAAATTTAATATTTCATTTAATATCTATCTAGGAATTTTTATATACGATTTAATAAAAAAATATTTTGGATCATTTTGTAATATTATTAGATACTTGTCAATATTTTTTGATACATTATAGGTAAATCATTTGTTTTTTGATTAATAAAAATTTGAAACTTTAATTCAAAGTTCCTTATAAGTTGTTTTTACAGCTATTAAAATGTATAGAAAAGATATTCCATAACATTTTTAATTTTTGATGTAAACAATTGACAACACATGACAATTTTTCAATTTCTAAATTATATTCATTAACATTTAAAAATATAATAAATACATTTATATTATTGTTATATATTTGGCTCTTATTGTTTTTATTCTATAACTTCCGAGTCTTAAACTAACAATTAATATTTAATAATTTAATATAATATTATAAAAGAAAATAAATAATAACGGAATATTAAATTCCTAACCTAACTTAAACTTTATTATCTATGACGGCAAGAGCATCGTTGTTTTTATCATGGACTATGTTTACTCTATAAAATAGAATCAATAAATTTTGATAATTTTCATTTATTCTACTCTGTGATATTAGTTATAACTGTCATAAGGTTTAACTTTTGTCTTTTAACTTTTAACACTGCTTTACTAAAGCTTTACTTACTAGTCCTACTACTTACTAGAGAATATATCGATAATATTTAATACATCTTGTTTAGTGAAGTTTAATATCAATGGACAGTGGGTATGGCTCAAATGGTTTGATGGCGTTGTAGTTAGTAAACAGAAAATATACAGAATGGATGAAATCAAATAATTTTACCTTAGGAATGAGAATAATAATTAATGAGTAATAATCTAAGCAACTAGCAAGCCAGCAAGGTTGATATCAATTACATAGCTTTACAGTTCGGGTTGTTAATATTGTTATCGTCATTGATTACATAATTTATATCATGTATAAATAAATTATAAATATTATATTATGCCACTATTGACTAAGCAAAATCGGTTACATTATTGATAACAATTTAAAGTATCTTGATTTTTGATCAGACAATGAATTTACTGTCATTTGTTTCCGGCACATATCTTAGTCTTTGGTTCCCGGTAATTGGTCAATCATGGTTTTTACATTTTACGGTTATCTGTATTCAGGTTTGGTATAATATGGCATTATGGCGGGCGCTATTCTATTCAGTATTTCTATGGTATTTCAGTCAACGGTTTACGGCGTAACTTAAATACCGTTTATTTGATATTTTGTGCTTGACAAACCACAACTCATGAGTTACCTGTCGACCATCTTATTTCATGCAGGATTTTTAATTATCTAACTCGTCAATTATTGCAGACTTTTTGCTGGTTACTTTTATTTAAAATATCATTATTTTTGATTTTAATTAGTTAACGCACATTTAATAATGGTCTTGAGTCCTCTTACGTCCAAACAAGTCTTGGAGTTCTTGCCTTTGAACACGTGGACTGAGGTATGTTCACAAATTATAATTTTAATTTTTTTTCATGTTTAATAATTCGGTGAGTGGATTAAATATTATCTATGATCCAAAATTATTTTTATGTAATTATTATCGTTATATTTCATCTTCATGATACTATTTAATGTACTAATTCGCTTAAATTTTTAAATGGCGATGACCTGTAGGCTGTAGATCCTGATTTTTACTAGTGCAATGGGTGTGCAGTTGGTCCCAATAATGGATGAGCTATTTTTCAATTTTTTTTCCTTTCATTAAAAACTTAAAATACAAGTTTTACAATGATTAAACTTTTTCTTTAATATATTAATGTTTTTTCCAATCAGCTATATTGTTCGTTGACCCGTTGATAATAATGAATATTTTTGTTATCACTTTTTTTGTGCAAATACGTATATATTATATTTTTTGTGCTTGTTATTCTTCAGGAAAAAATCATAACTGTTATCAGATAACTTGGCACAAATATATACAACTTGTGCTCTTCATATTTTATAATATTTTTATTAGTTCTTTTCGGTAATTATATTCTAGTAACTATCAGAAATGATCAAGAAATGCCGATTCCGTTATCTCACTTCACACTGTTTTTAAATAAGCTATTTGGTGTTACTATTATATCATTTTTTTTTTTTTAATTTTAGAAATTAATAATTTAAAACAAATTTGGACTGTTACCATCATTTTTAAGATAGAATTGTCTATCTATACAATACCATTATAATTATACCTATGTTTCGCAAATATATTAATTCTATTAGATTATTATGATTTTTTAAAAAATAAAAATGTGTTTCAATGTATTTGGCTTATCACAATTAATGTATCTTAGTAGATTCAGACATACCTACCAAAAATGGGGATTGATTAAAGAACAAAATTTAAGAATTATGAGTTCATTCCTTCTTTATAAATATTCATTTTATACTTATATTCTACCTATATTTTTCATATTTTATCTTATACTTTATTTTAAAAAGTTTTATTGTAATACCTTTTTAACAATAGTTAATTTATGTTTTCAATATCTAAGAAGGTATAATTATAATTTGTAACACTAGATATATTTATTGTAAACAGTGGAGTATTATATCCAAAAAGTATATTCTTATTTAATGTACAGTTGTTTTTTAAGGAATTTTTACTTATATATTCAGCAGTTTATCTTATTACGTTAATAATATAATAATCATAAAACTCGACACAACCACTATACCTTATGGCTAATTGTCATAAATGGTAGTATATGAGTTATATAAAAAACTGAATTGTATAAAGTTTAAATTATACTCTATTGTGGTACTATTTTTAACATTTGACCTATTTAAAAAAAGTAAATTTTCTTAATTTGTTTAAATATATAAAAAATTGAAAATGCTTTGATAAGTAGGTATTAGTAGTGGCACTAATGTCAATTTCAAATGGTATTGCATGAAAATAAAATCTGAGTTTGGAAATTTTAGCTAACAGTGAATTTGTTATACTAAAATATGAGAAAAATTTTATGTACTTCTATGTATTATAACGATTATAACGTGTATACCTATCAGTGACTGCACAAGGTTTTGCAGGGCCTAGGGAAAGTAAAAAATATGGGGCCCTCATTCCTACCTTATACATTATATCACTATTCTAAATTAATTATAGATTTAATTCAAAGGGTAATAATTTTGTACATTATAGGAATGTAAATAAAATCAAAACAATCAATGATAAATGTATTATATTATTTGCATAAAAAATAAATTTATCATCTTAATTATTTTTATAAAATATCAAAATACTATTATTATTAATAATTTTACCAATTAAATTTATAATAATTAATAAGTAATAACTTAAATTTGTAAAAGAAATTTAAAAAAAATTAATGTAATGAACAGTTTATAATATATTTAAATACATAATACATTGTTAAAGTAAAATATTGATAGTTATAATTCTTTAATTTTTCTAGCTTTTTTGAATGCAAAATTATTTATTTTTATCTTCATAATTTAGTTCTAAAAATTCTTTTTTCATACAAATTTTAGCAAGTCTAGTAAGTCCTTGTTGTGATGTGGTACTCAGTAAATATGTTGTAATTTTGACTTTCTGCTTCAACTGACACAAGGGAAATTGATAAAATAATTCATAAAGCAATATTCAAGTTGGAAAATGCATTTTTTTTTATTTCTGGTAGTACTTTGAGTGGTTTAGTAATTTTATTAATTAAATTAAGGAAAATTAATATTTCTTCGTATAAATCATAATCATTTAAATCTTTTTGTATCCAACAAAAATAATCTGGTAGAAATCAACTTAAATTTACTGTGAGTATTAAGATGCATGATCATAAGTGAACTTATTTTTTTTTTATTATTTCATTCAGATGAGAATACTATAAATAATGGGGCCCCAAAATCTTGAGACATGTGCCTCGCTTGCCCCAACGCTCCGGCACTGATATATATATCCTATAGACTACCATCCTCTGCCATGACAACACTCATCTAAATAAGATATTATATCCGCAATATTTATACATAATGATTAGTGCCACTATATAGGGTGTCATACAATGAACTGACAATTGCAATAACTTTTATTCTATTGAAAATTTTCAACTTTTTTTTTAAATTGTCGTCTACGCTACATTTAAAATATTTTTTTTAAAATTTTTATTTGATATTAAAATCAAGATAGCCATTTTGTAAATCTTATTTTTAGAAAAATTTTAATGTCAAACACTTTTACTAAGGTTAAATAAAGAGTCAATAATTTTTAAACAATTTTTAAAGTTTGTTTATATTCAAATTTATTTCTTGTTCTTCAGTGTTACAGCAATTATCGAATATCTAGAAAATCTATTTAAAATAATATAAATTTGTACAAACTTCAAAAAAATCATAGAAAATAAACGACTAAACATTTTTTTTTTAGCAAACATGTTTTAAAAATCATAAACAAAATAGCTATTTTGATTTTTTAAATATCAAAAATAAATTTTTTAATTTCTCAATTTTATTTTCAAAATTTAAATTAATTTTAATGTAACGTAGATGACAATTGATTATTTTCCCTCAGTATTACTGCTGACAATATCTTTTTTATGATGTATAGGGGGGAAGAGTATAGTTAGGATGATACAACATGTTAAGTGGATTATAGTTCTACACTTTTATCATAGGAACATTAAAATAAGTGGAGGATGAATTAAATTTTATAGAAAACTATAAAAATCTACTGGAATAGGGCTAAGTCATATTTTTGATACACATATTAAAAGACATCAATATGTATACAATTAAAATAGATTTTTATACATTTCCTTGGTTAGTAAAAATAAAAAAAATATTAACTTAATTAATTGACCAAAAAGTTATAGTGAGAAAACTAAATGTGCATACTGAATATAGATTGACCAAAATTTAAACTGATATATTATTTAATTCTCAGTTCTAATTGTTTAATTCATGTCTGACAAAAATTGCAGTAACAAAGTAGCTTGATTTTAAGGATTAGAATAAACATCATCTATATAACTTAAGTCGTAGAATAACAAGTTTTTTTTTAGTTTATATATAGTATTCTAAATTTGACCAAAGTTCTTCTCAATTTAAACATCTAAAAATCACTATAGTTTGATCAATACACTTAGAGCTCTAATTGTTGTGTTTTAAATGGCTATTATTTCCTAAAACAGTACAATTATAATAGTTTTAACAAAAAAGTTTAAAAATCAGAGCTCTCATTTTGCTAGATGTAATTTAATTATTGATTTATTATTAAATTGTTCAGAAATTTAATTTATTTTACAATAACTAAATACCAGCTATATACCAGCTATACGTGCATATAATATACTCGTATACATACATTAAAAAAAAAAAAAAAATGAATATTTTAACTTGGGAGAAGAAATGCATATTTATATAAATTAACTGAATTCAGGAAAATCATATCTTTTACCTACTAATAATAATGATTTATTTTTTTTAACTATTAAAAATTTTAATATTTATTTAATTTTCACAGGTTCATTTGCTTCAAAATGATTTTAAAAATGTATATATAGCAACAACAAAGGATAAAATGGAAAAGCGATTGAAAGACATGCAATCAATTTCATTACAGAGTGGCTCTTATGATAAAGTTACAACATTTAAAGTACTAGAAATAGTTGCAGTTAAAATTAAAGACGAATGGTAATTTAGTTAATATAAAATCATGAAATAATCTACTTTCATTCTAATTAACATAAGATCCAAAATGTGTGCTTTTATAAATTATGTACCATGTTTATATAGGTATAGAGGGAAATTAATTAGTTTCAATGAATTTCAAACAGACAATACCATAATTGAATTAATTGATATTGGTTCTGTTTATCAAACCAAGTTAGAAAATTTGTTTGTTCTTCCGTATTATTTTATGTATGAACCGTTAGTAAGTAAAAGTTATTTAAATGCTTAAATTTAATTTATCTATGCATACTAATTTTTATATTTTAGGCCTTACCGATAATATTTAAGGATTTTATTCCAAAAAAAACAACATGTTTTATAAAACCTCTTCTATTAGAAAGTGTAATTATGACTTATAGTTAATATTATTTTTACTGATTAGTTTTGATTTTATCATTTTATTAATATTTTTATATTTTTATTTTAGAATCTACACGAAGGTACTGTTCTTGTTGAAGTCAACTGTAATGATAAAAATTTGGAAAATGGTGTACTTGTTAATTTAGACTGTAATGATAAAAAGTTGGAAAATGGTATTAAAGAAAAAAAATTATTAGAATTGAAAAAAGAGTAAGCTCATTAATTTTACTATTGTTCTGTGGATATTTTTTATCTTATTATGATTAGTAATAAATGCTTAGGATTTAATAGTATATATGTCTTTATTTTAAATTCTATTTTTTTTAGTATTTTAGATATATTTAAAATAGTATGTTTTAAGACGTGTTTTCCATTTTTTTTTTTTAAGTTCAATATTTATATATATATAAATATATGAATTTTTGTAGTTTGAGTTTCATAGTCTTAGATTAAATGTAAACAATTGTTATCTTGATTATCCACTCTTATTTTCTCAAACTATTTACCAATAATATTTTTGTTCTAATGGTAAATGATTTTGTCTGTGACTTAGGTTTTTCTTTATCTCTCTACATTATGTCTAAGTCTAAATGTTAAGAAGACATAATTTAAAGCACTTAAAGTTTTTGATTTTATCTAATGAATGTATTTTAAATTTAAACTATGTTCTTCACTAAAAACTTTTTGTTTATTTGTTTTCTAATAAAATTGTGTCATTTGTTATTCGTCTAAAACTAAAGATTAATGTTAAAAAGAATTCAGCGTAAATTCCTGTTTTGCATCATGTATCTTCAAGATTGATTATTTTAAAAATGTTTAAATCTATCTTCTAATTAAGATTGAAAATGAACTGCCTACTTAAACAAATTCTCTTGCCAAACAAAAATCAATTTTTTTTATTAACTTTTTGTTGTAATATTCCATAATCATCTACTCTTATGTAATTTACAAATGAAAACTCCCATTTTCCAATTTAGTTAAATTTGTATTTATATTTTGAATTAGTAGTTTAGATTGTTGACTTCTTATATTAACTTTCTTGTTTCATTGGGCTTCAGCCTGTACTGTTTAAGTAAAATATTTTATATATTTTATAAATTATAATTTGTGGCTAAAGGTCATATTTTATGAATGTAGCTTTCTGAAAAAAGAACAATAGTTATCACTTCTAAAGTTTTTTGACTTGCAAGTTATTTTAAGTTCATTTGATGCTTTCATTAGAATTTTTGTTTATTAATTTTTTAAATTTGTTTTAGCATTAATTCTGTTGATGATTCACAAATTGTAAGCATTCAAAACATGAGCAATGGTTACGATAATAATGAATCGACGTAAAATCATTTTTATTTTCTATTTGCTACTATACATATATTTGATTTATGTGTAATAGAATATTTTTTATTTACAGCTTATATCTATCTAATAGTTCCAGAAAAGGTAGCATTTTTAGTCAAGAAAAACTTAACAATATGCCATTAAAAAATGAAGATTATTGTATTTTGACGTATTTTGAAGATTTCACTTGTTTGTATGTTAGCAAAGCTATAAAAAGTGATGAAGATGGCAGTTACAATTTTTTTGATTTTGACACTTTATACAAAACTGCTAGTAGTACAGGTTAAATTATATTAATATTTCATTACTGGTCTTATAATTAAAACAAAGTGATTTAAAACTTAAGAAATTTGTAGATGGGAAATAATTGTTTTGTTTTATGATTTTTGGTACTTGTTAGTATTTTTTAAAACTACTTGTGATATATTAGCTATTTGTGTTTTATAGATTTTAAATTTTAGTTTTCATAATTTAATCAAAGTTTACGGATGTTCAAGTAGGTTATACAAATATTTTTATACCATTTCTCAAATGTTGTTTCTTTAATCCAAATAAGTTTAAACTTCACCTTGTTACAAATTATATTAATATTTGTACTAACTTTTATTTTTTTTTTCATATTTGTATTATCTACTTAATGATTGATAAAATAACTGATAAGTGTCATTTATTGTTATTTATAATTTTTTTTTTAGTATAATTTTAAACACAACATGTTGATAATCAAAATTTTAGTGAATCTTAAGTTGTTAAGCAATAATATGTAATTAGAGATAATCATTAAGTACAATATTTCAAGTATATTTACAGTTAATTTTTTTAATTAACTTCATATAAATTAACTTATATTTATATATTTTAATCATTAGATAAAATACCCAAGTATGATCCTATTGTGGGAGACATAGTCAAAGTTTTTTCATCTCAGAATGATGGTTTGTACAGAGCAAAAATATTAAAACATAACAATAATAATGAAAGTTATGATGTTTTCTACATTGATTATGGAAACATTGAAACAGTCCCATCAAATGCTATTTATGAATTGGCTGATGAATTGAAGAAGGTATTTTTTTCTACTTACAATTTATTTTATTTTTAAAGATAAGTCTGCATTATGTATTTATTAAAAATAGATTTTTAAATAACTTTTTTTAGTCTGTTATAAATATTACATAACATTTAATAAGTGTTCTATATTACCACGGTGTAATTAGTGTATTAATTAATACTATTACTAGTTCAAATTATAAGTAGCATTAAGACGAGTTTTTATAAACAGATAGTATTTGGATGAATTATTAATATATCATATATTATCCTTCTTAATTATTCACTGTTCATAAATTATTTAAATCTTAGATCTAATACTGATCAATAAAGAAGGATAAAAAAATCATTATATCAGTTGTCCTTTACAAAATGTAAATCAGTTAATATTAATCAAGGAATACAAAAGTATATATTGGTGAATATGAACTCAAAATATATTGTGTGTATCTTGGTTAATGGAATGTTTTTTAAGTAATGCTCACTTAAATATATAAAACAGCTTCTGTAGTTCAGCTTTGTATCAAAATGTAATAATTATTTAATTATATTGAATTATTTAGTCATTAAGAATATACAAAACCCACATAATATCATATTATGATGTCTGTCGTATTTAATAACAGTAAATTTACCAAGCATTGAATTTAAAAGTAAAAATATTAGCTAGTGAACCTCATAGGCTTTTTTTATATTTTTATTTTAAAGTGAGTTATGAGCATTTAAAAAATCTGAAATTGTTATGTTATGTATTTGTAAGATAGAGACCACCGCATACAGGTGTAGTGTCCTCTGAAGATATTATTTTCTAAAATATCCATTTTAAAACCGAAAACAAATAAAAACCTTAGTATGATTTAGTGAGTATTAGGTACTAAGTTAGATTTATGAATAAATCTCTATAATTTTATCTTTATTATTAGTTATGGTAGCATGATATAATATAACAATATATGATATAATCTTTTAAAGTAAAATTGGTGGGTTGCGTATTAGTAAAGCTATATTAATTTATGTTACGAGAGTGATGTAATTTATCTGACTAACTATTAAATAAATAACTGATTTTTATATTTTTACAGTCAATAATACTAATATGTATATTATTTATACATATATTATTTAATCTATGTTTATGTGTGTTATTATTTGTTTATAATTTCAGCCTGGAATAGCTATTAAAATAGGACTGAGTTATTTAAGAAATATTCAAATTACTGAACAAGTGAAAAATATGTTTAATATGTTTTGTGACTATGGAAAGCCATTTTTGATTGTACGTAATGTATAATATGTATTATATACCTAATATTATTAGATTATAAGTTTTAGAAATGTATTTCATATTACAATAATTATTATTAATTAAATAATAAGAAAATAAAACTTCTTAAATTAGTTAAGTATAGTAATAATGTTAATCATAATATTTATGTTTATATTTATTAACAAAATAGATTGATTATTGCCATTCAATTTTTATCCTTTTAAATTAAAAAAAAAATACAAACATTGATACTTCAAATATTATTTTACAAATGGTATCATGTATAATATATTTATATTATTGTTCTGAATATAGAATTTTGTATATTATTTTTTTAGGAGCTTGATGAAAACTCTAAATATTGTCTAGAAAATGTAAAATTAAAAGATATAGAAAATGGATCATATATTAATTCGGAATATATAATGAAATTTACATCAATAGAACCTGGTAATACTTTTAAATATTATGATAGTTATTATATCTATTATTTATCCTTTATTTTATCTGTTGAATAAATAATATGTGTTTAAATTAAAATTGTTTTATGAATCAGAAATTACACCTGTACAATGTAATGAAAATACTTCAATAGTTCATAATAATCATCAATTCAATGATTTAAAAAATAATGATATAGTTTTTTTAAAACATTTTGAAGATATGGATAGTGTATACATTGTTAAAGATGTGCAACTATTAAATGATGTGTTAATAAAAATAATTAATGATAAATGTGAGTTCATTTTTTGACATTATTACTTAGAATTTTTTAAACATTTTACAAACAAATATAATTACGTTTTGGATTTTTAGCTGCTGTGTGTAAAAAAGAGTTAACTATAGGAGATATTGTTAAAATTGTGCTTAAAAAATCTCATTATCGTGCCAAAATTAAGAAAATTGATGTTAATTCAATTTGTGTTAAAAATATTGATTTTGGATACAGTGAATTTGTTGAAGCAAATTCTGTCTGTGAACTCTCAGATGATTTATTAAAGGTTTGATATTAAAATGTACTGTAATTTTAGTACATAAGTTTATATGTGTGTTTATAATTTTGTATTAACTTAAATACTTATTCATTAAGTTGTTGGCCAGTATCTTGGTCATTTTAACTTCTGTATAAATTTAATTATTTTTATATTAAAGGGTTTAAAAGCATTTATATTTTTGTAATAAATTTAATTCTTTTATGATATTCTATCAATGATTTAGTATGAGGTTAGGTTAAATATAAGTGTTCATTATTTTTAGTTTTTTTTTTGTTTGCTGTTAGGTTAGCAAAAATTGAAAAAAAAATTGTCGTCTATAATTTTTGTATTCATATGACATGTTTTAATTATTGAATGAGGTTTGTAAAATACAATAGAGTATAATTATATGGACTATATTTTTATTTGTTCAGTTTTGCTGATTTTTATGGTTTAGTAGAAAGAATGTTTGGTAGGAAAGAAAAAATTAGTAGTGTAGTTAATGCCACTTACTGCAGAAAAATTGATTGAGTACAAGTTGATGTGGTTCGGTTGTATTATGAGAGATAAATAGGAGTAATGATAGCGACTGAAAATTAATGTAAAAGGAAAAAGAAGTTAGAGAAAAATTGAAGAAGTTTATAATACATTAATAGTTTATTTAAATAGAGGTGATGGTAGCCCTATGGAGGTATAGCTTAAAGTGGCTGACTGCATTTAGTTAGGTGTGAAGTACAAAGTTAAGGAAGAAGAAATAATATTATCCTACATTTAGTGTTATACTTTAAATATGAAAGTTTATATGAATAATTATATTAAATATTTATGATTTTCTTGAGTTATTTGACAAGTTTAATTTTTTATATTTTTAATTACAAATAAAATTATTTTACATTAATTCTATATAATATATGATTTCATTATTTTATATTTAACTATATTTAAAATGTTAAGGAGATTAAAAACACATTAAGAACGTTTCCATTACATTAAATTCATTAATAAGCTAATAGTCTAACCCAATATATATGTATTATATGTATATATAGGATCTAGATTGTGATTTAAATAGTATAATTGTTTTGGTAGATCCCTGGATTAGCTATAAAGATTGGAATTAAAGGACCTTTGATAAAGAAGACACGCGACTTAGAAGTTTTTATTGAAAAAATTGAAAAAATTCCATTATACTTGGTAAGTTCTAAGTCATATTTTTAGATATATTATATAAAAAAAACTTACCAGTTAATAGTTATTTAAATTTAAGTATTGAAGTTGTTATTAATTAGATTTTAATTTTAATTTATAAGTATTTTATGTTTACGTTATTATACACATAAAAAATAATGTGCTCAATTATTTTTTAGTGTCTCTTATTATTATTAAAAACAATTATATTTATATTTTAATGAATTTAAACCTTAAATATTTACAATTTTTTTTTTTACCCATTTTGTGCAGCTGAATATAATTCTAAAATATGCATGTAGTGTTATAGTTAAACTGCTCTTTGAATTTCACTTATTGCGATTATCTTTTGCTTGAGATCTTTTATTTATAATTTTTTTTACACACACATATATATATGTGTGTGTATGTATATATAATATATATATATATACAAAATATTCATTAGACTTATTTATTTTGTAAAATCAACTAATATTAATCTGATTTATTAATTTTAGGAATTTGAAGAAGGAAATTCCAATAGTTATCAAGGAATTACTTTAAGGAGAAAAGATAATTCTATAAATATTTTTGAAGAGTTTTTAAAAACAAATAAAAATCAATTAATATGTAATCGTAAGAAAATTAAAATTTTTAATAAGCCTTAAGGATTGTTTACTTTAAGGATATTTTTTTTAATTAACAGAAATTTCAAACAAATGTGAAAACAACGACACAATAATTGAATCAAGTGAAAGTTTAATTAATGATTTTCAAAACATTACATTAAAAGTTGGGGATTATTGTATTGTTTCTTATTTCAAAGATTTTAAAAATATTTATTTATGTGAAGCTATAAAAAATGATGCAAAAGATGTTTATGAAATGCATAATTTGTCTATTATTCAAATGACCATGGACAGTAAAGGTTAGTTACGTTTGTGTGTGTGCGCATTGTATAAAATACATGTAATTTTTAAAAATTATAAATTTTACTATTTTATAGTTATTATAAATCAAAGATTTATAAGAATTAAGTAAACAATTTAATTGTATTAAAATGTTTCTTTTAGATCGTAATATTAAAATTAATCCAGCCATAGGAGATATTGTTAAAGTATTTTCACATTTGTTTGATGGTTTTTATAGAGCTAAAATATTAAATATTGTCAATAACAAATTTCATGTTTCTTACATTGATTTTGGAAATACAGAAATTGTTAGTTTAAATGAAATATTTGAACTTTCAGATGAATTAAAAATAAAGGTATTTCGAAAAGTTTTTATATTTATGTATTTAAATTTTATCAAAATTATTTTATTTTAGACAAAATTACCTACTCCAGTAGCGATTGAAGTTCCCCCAAATGCCAAAAAAACAGATGAAATTCAAAATTTTTTTGATAACTTAATGAACAATAATATAGTTCTATTTATTGTAAGTTTTTAATTATCTGAGTTTCTATAATAATTAATTTTTAACTAAAAAATTTTTCTAGGAAAACAAAAATCAAAATATTGATGGTTCAGAAACTATTATTCTAAAAGAATTGGAGTCTGGTAGATTAATGAACACAGAATTATTGAAATTATTCCCTACTGAAAAAATACCAATCAATAATTTTGAAAATTCTAGTGAAACACATGTTGTAGATATTAAATATGCCAAAGATCATGATTTAGATAATGTTAAAATATTAAAGGAAACTGTGGATAGTTGTATAGGTTTGAATTTTAAATTAAATATGCTTTGAAAGATATTAAATTACAATGTCTTAATTATTTTAATTAGCTTGGGAAATAAAAGTATTGGTGTTGTAAAAAAAAGTAGATATTTCTATTTGATTATCTAAGACAATTCTTAAATATAATTTTATATTCTTGATAATTCTTTTATCATGTAACATGTATCTTAAAATCTATTAATTATTTTATAGAAAACATTTTTTTCATTATATTTTAATGTTATCATATTTTTAAGCAGAATATTGTTTTGAGTATTTTGATACATATTAGTCGAAATTTGACCGAGTAGTTATTAGTTACAACTTAATGCCGCCGTGCACAGCACTGCTTTAGGCACGGCACAGCACCAGGACATATGTGTGGCCATATCACTTGATGTGAAGAACGTTTTCACACAGCGCCCTGGATGAAGGTGGATAATGCTCTCCTGTCAAGAATGTATCCTCATACCTCTTGAAAGAAGAATCATCAAATAGTTCAAAATCGCCTGGAATTCATCTGCATGGTTGAGACAATTCGGTCGACCAAAAAAAGGATGAACTCAAAATGAGGCCTTGCAAAGGGCACTAGTGAGCGTGTGCGTTGCACGATTGTAGCTGCCCCAATAGAGAATGAGACATCTAGAGCGGTGGACTCTAGTCGCCTGAGAAGGTCAGGAAGAGGTTCAGAAAATACTGTTAATGCAAAATGTATAATTTTTGAAAATGCACGAACAAGTGGGAGTAAGTCGGGGAGCAGTTATGTTTGCCTCCCATTTATGTATTAATATTTGATATTGTCAATAAACGTTAGCAGCGTGTGGAAGCAATGTGAAAGCAGTTCCTGTGGCGTTGTCGGTTTAAAACTGAAAAAAAAAGTTATAACTTAATAATTATTAAAGTTTAGATAAGCAAGTTAATATTGTGTGGAATCCCCACCACCTTTACTTCTCTCACCTAAACTTTTAATACTTATAAGTTATAACTTATATCCAAATTTTGATTTTTATTTATAGAAATACTATAAAAATATTCTGCTTCAAAATATAAAATTAAAAAAGGATTTTGTATTCGAAAACCCAAAAATGATAATGACAAAAAAGTATTAAAAACCATAAACTGCAAATTATGTAAAGAAATATTTTCAAAATCATTAATAGATTTCAATTAATAAACATTGTTCATTAAGATAATAGTTTTGTTTAATAATAATTTAATGTTAATAAAAAAGTGGTATATATTTAAATATTTTATATTGTAAATTATTTTTGCCTCACTAAACAATTGTTATTTTTTTTTGACTGGTTTTATTTTGACCACTATAATGTTAGTTTAAAATATGTCTATTGTGTTAGTTTCTTAATCTCAAAAAAAATATATTACAATGTCAAAATAATATTTTAAACCATAAAAATAATAAATGTTTTCTTTATTTATAGTCGAGAATTTAAAAATTGAAGAGGACCAAAAATCACCAGGTGTTATTGACTTAGAATTTGGACTACCTAAGAATAGAGATTTAGTTCATTTAAGGTATTTTCTTGATTCAACTTCTGTATTTGTTTCTCGAAGTTCTGAAGAACATTTGAAATTGTTTAATGATGTAACTAGAAGAACAATAGAAGATAACTGTAAGTTTCAATAACTAATAATCTCAGAATATACAGGGATGTTAAATGTTAGTTAAAAAGTTCAGCTTTTTATTTTACTTGTATTGGATTTTATATTTAGATTAGGCAAAAACATATTTTTTACTATAATAATTTTGTTTTTTATGAAAAAATATGTAATAAAATAAATTATTTCAGCTTTTGTATGCAACAATTTATCAATAAATTCTAATTTATCACATTCATTATATAAATATTGAGTAATGAGGTTCACTTGACACCTACAATATAGCAGAACCTACTATAGTAGAATTACCTACTTGTTTTTTTTATTTGTAGTTTCTCTTATAATAATATGGTTTACGAAGAACATAAAATAAATGTGATTGCTAATATGAATTTGTATAAATGGTATTTGAATTTGGAATATTGAAATATAATACTAAAACTCAATTATTTGTAAAATATGTAATATGTTATTTAAAATTGAGATCTTTTGATACACAGAACAAATTTAATTTGTCTTACTAAGTTCTTTTTGTCTTTATTCTACAATAATTAGCGTATGTTCAAGAATCCGAGTTATATATGTTGATTTATATTTTATTTTTAAAATTATGAAAAAATATGTCATGGTTATTTGTATAATATATAATTATTTTGTATCATTAAAACTAATAAGTCTTTTTTAAGAGGTGAGGGTGAGTTGATTTTTGAAATTTACTAGTTGATAGAAAATAAGGTCGGGAACCATAATGTTAGATGAATATAATACCAACTGTTAATATCAACTATAAATTAATATTTATTTTTTCATTTTAGCAAGAAGGAAAAAGTTAGACATTGAAGTAGGAGATATTGTTAAAGCACTGTTTCTTGATGATATGTATAGAGCAAAAATACTTGAAAAAGTTGATCATAATTGTTTCTGTATTTCTTTTATTGATTTTGGAAATGATGAGATTGTTCATGCTGATGAAATTTTTGAATTACCTGAAGAATTAAAAAAGGTTGTTTTATTTTATAATTTTATGTTATTATATTGGTGAAATTAATTTCTTATAAGTACAATCATTTTAATTATACACATAATATAATAAATTTATTTAATTATTTTAATTTTTAGGTTCCTGGTTTGTGTGTGAAAATTGGAATCAAAGGATCACCAATAGTTGATAAATCAAATGATTTAGTATCAAAATATTTAGAAGATTTAGAAGATGAACCTTTGTATATTGTTCGTATTTATAGGAATTATTTTTATATCTGTTATCAGTTATGGATTTAATTGTATATATTTTTTTTATTAAATGATAAATCTAAACAATTGAAAACTACATGGTTTACATATATTTATGTTTAAATAAGTTTTATAATTTTAGGAATATGATGAAAGAAACCCGAATGGACTAAAAGAAGCTAGCTTAAAAAGAAAAAATGATTCTGATATTTTTGAAGAATTATTTAAAATTTTGGACAAACCAATGAATACTAAAGGCATGTTACAACCTAATTTCATCTATATGTTAATTATTATTTTTATTTAACAACAAATATGTATATTATTTAAATTTAGTTAATACCTATATTTGTTTTAATGACTAAGTTCTTGACTTCAGTATGAGACTACTTGTAGTTTTTATAAAACATATTTCACATTTAACTCATAAATTAACATTTTTTATGTGTGTATATGTTATTATGTTATTGATACTTATGAAATATTTTAATATTTTTTAATAAATGGATTGTGTTTAATATAGTCTAAAGAGATATATTCTAACTTAGTCCACTGTATACAATACTTACAATGTAATGTTTTTTAGGTATTTACTATTTTTTTAGTAAAGTGATATTTTTAATTGGATTATGCAATATAATATTGTTATTTGTGATATGTTTTATTATACTCACTAAACGTGTATAATTTCTCATACTTAGAGTTTGCTTTTACAAGTCTCTACTTATTTATAATTTATATTATGACAAATTTACAGTTATTTTTTTAATTTGCAGAAGAATCTATAAACAAAGCCCAAAATATTACTGAAAATGAGACTTTGTTGGTAAACTCACATGAATCCAAAGTTGTATCAAATATTGAATTGAAAACTGGTGATACTGTTTTTTGTAGTCATTTTGAAGATTTTAACCAGCTGTATCTTTGTAAAAGTTCTAAAAATAATACAATACCAGAAAATTATAGCATGATTGTGAATTCTAAAATGGCTAAAGGTAATTTTAATAGAATTATAAAAATGTTTATAATACCTATAAATAGTTTAAATGTATGAACTCATATTTGTTTTTTTAGTATTATGTATCTAAATTTGTATAGATAATATTAAAATTTAAAACAACTAAGCTATTTTAGATTTTAAATAATATTACTATAAATTAGTCTTGGAATGGGTGTCTGAAAAAACTGGTTTCACTCTGTAGTATTTACCATTTTATTGTATACTAATGATTTAGTACTGAATTCACTATCCATGATAGTGACGACTTACTCAATGATGAGGTATACTCACAGTTTACACACATACACTAAACAAAGATATTTTATTTCTGAAGTGATAGTTTTAACTCAATTTATTATATTAATGTATGAGTGTTAGGAAACGATTAATAAATTCATTTTAAAGTTAATTAATTTATTAATATGTGCTTATACCTATTCTATTTTCTTATTTTTGTCAGTTTTACAATCATGTATTTAAGTACATATACAGTGTTTATTTCATTATAATGTTAAATAAGAAATATGACATAATTCAGCTTTGTTAACCATCAATTGAAATCGGGATTTTTGATGAAAATAAAGAAAAAAAATGATTATTTTAGTAAATAATCATTGTTAGATAATTTTTTAAATGTTAATCATATTTGATATGCATATGCATAATAAATCTAATGCATTTATAGATTCTGAGCTGAATAAGAATGTTTTAATTTTATAAAAAATGTGTTATTTTTTATTTGTTTCTATCATGACCTTGGACAGTAAAAATAGTTAGATTTTTAACTTTGGAGGTGGTTTCTGGTAGAAAATTGGATCTATATAGTTATGACTAAGTAAAATAAGGGTCAAAAATAAAAATTTCCAGTAATTAAAAAAAAAAAAGAAAAAAGAATTTTTTTATGTAAAATCAGGTTTTGCTGAGTTGATTTTTTTAGTTTTATAATTTAGTTATGAATATGCATAGGAATTTAAAATTTTCATTAGTGTTTATATTATTATTTTCCAATAAATATAAAAAAAAACGTCAAAATTGCAAAATCAAGCAAATTAATTTGTTATTAAAAAATCCAAAAAGTTATTATTTTCATATTTAAGATTTGAAAGTTGAATTTGAGGTACTTTATAAATTTGCAATATTTTATATTTTTACAAAATCCTAAACATTTATTAATTACAAGTATATTGTAGTTAAATGTTAATTAAAACCCCAATTTTTTTAGCATCATGACAAAAATACTCAATTATAATATGCAGTTATGTTTTAAATACAAAATTACATTCAAATACTTAAAATACCTAAAAAAAAAAAACTAGGCTTATATATTTTTTTTTAGATATTTTAGTTCCAGTATCAGTTTATGAGGAACGTTTAATATTTTTAAAAGTTGAAAAATCAATGTGCAGCTTAAACATAATAAATTAATACTTGTAGGAAATGCTAACAAAAACCAATTGTTTAATCCTATTTCTAACCTAATTATTATCTGTATTTAATAATTAAGGAGATGGCACCAATTGGCATCATTTAGCACATGCAGTAAATATATTTAAGTATGAATAAAAACCATCGTTATATTTTCATAATTTAAAAATATTATTAGTTGGACTTGAAACTTTTGTGAATAATATGAATTTTTCAGTTTGTACTGAAATTTTTAAAGTATGTTATTTATTTTATTACTGATTTATACCATGAATATATAGTGCATTTTTGTTAACTTAATTTAGTGATTTTGGCCGATATTGTCTCCATTCAGAATTAATTTTTGTGTACAAGTGACTCAATCGTCACTTAATGTACACCAAAGCAGTAATCACTTGCCAATATTTTTATTTTTTATTTAATTTAAGTATGAATTTATAAATTAAAACAATAATTATTTTACATGTATGGGTTAATTTTAATTTATTTTTAAATATTGTTGAGCATGTTCTAATTTGCATATCGTATACAAATATATTCTTGAAATCTAACAAAATACTATTTTATTTATTTTAGATATTGTTGTAAAAGATAATCCTAAATATATGGATATAGTAAGAGTGGAGTTTGAAGAGAACATTTTCCGTGCTAAAGTACTTGATAAATGTGGACAGAAATATTCTGTATTTTTAATGGATATTGGGAAAAATATAAATGTGCTTGCTGATAATATTTTTGAACTTCCAAGTAGCTTAAAAAATGTAATACTTAAGTTTTAAAGCTTATTTGTTTTGTTTTGTTTTTATTAATTTATACGTTAACATTAATATTATTATTTAATATATTTATGTTTAGATTCCTGGTTTAGCTCTAAAGGTTGGTCTTAAAGGAACTACTGATTTAATAGTAACTTCTGCCGTAAAAGATTATTTTCATAACTTATGGTATAATGATCCAATTCCATTAATTTTAGTAAGTTATTTTCTTTTTTTACATTTTAATAGAATATTGACTAGTTAATTGCTATTTGCTTTGGCAGTTCTTAATATATATTTTGTTGCCTATATTTTAGTAAATAAAACTGTTTTCTTAGTATTTATGTACCAACAATTATTCTGTTTTATATTTGGCTAATTATAATAAGTACTAAATGTGTTACAAAGTAATAAATTATAAATTTATTTAAAATATAATTACATAGTTAAATATAATAATGTGTAATCCATTAAGTCTAAAAAATTAATTAATATTATTGTTTCAAAGTCAATTTTTGAAACATCTTACACTTAATTGCTAATGAACTTTGAGGAAATTAATTTTTTTCTTTCGACTATCACATACCTTTATTAGAAGTTTTATAATTAGTTATTTTAAAACTAAATTTTTCTAATTTATCTTTGTTCAACACATTTTGGAAGATAATAACTTTTAAAACTTAAAATGAACATTTGCAAGTTATCAGTTTTATAGTAAACATTCAAACAAATGTAATATAAAACTTATGTAATTGAAATATTAGTTTCAAGTAGGGTTAAAAATATACTTATTTTTATAATGTTGATTTTTAAAATGTATTATGAAGTTTATGTATAATTAAAACAGTAAACAGTTTTACTATACTTTTTTTCTTTGCGAGAATTTTTATAAATTTTTTAGTAGTTAGCATCATTAATATTAACAATATCTTATTGGAGTATGTAGAATTTTATTGTCATTAAGATTATACCAAATTATTTAAATAATGGTTTATTTTAATTTTTTTTAACTTGGAATAAAATATATTAATTCCAATTTTTAACTATTCATTGTAATATCTTAAATTTTTTCAAGTTTTAAGCAAAGTGCACTTTAAGAAATCTTGGATAATCCATCGTATAAACAATTAAAATTTTAGTTGATTTCAACTAAATTTAAATTTTATAATTTTATTTATTAACCTCTACGTTAAACAACTGTTTTCATCTCCACAGTGTTATATATTTCTATATTAATTTTTTTTTAATGGACCAATTGTTTAAATATATAATTTTTGATTAAATTTATTTATTTAAAATTTGATACATAATATTCTATGTATATTTATGAAATAGGATTTTATAAAAATAAATTTTTATCAAAATATTAATTAAGTGGTGCATATGAATATAAATAATTGTAAATTTTTTATTTCTAAGTATGTCAATCTGCCCTTGACAGAAGTTGTATTTTTGCTTATATTGAATTAACCATTCTAGAGTTGTTCTCTAAAAGTGATATATTGATATGTCTACCTTATTGGTTCTAATTTAACACAATTTTATTTTGATAAAAATAGAAATTAAACTTAAACCTACACGTAGGGTAGAAAACTTGAAGTATTTTTATTTTTTTTGGTGCACAGACACAAAAATATTAAGAGTATGAAACAAATACTTTTCATACTTTCACAAAGCTAGTTTTGAAATATTTTGAGTGTTTTTAGTTTTTAATGCATATTTATTCTTTTTTTACTTTTAGATGCATATTTTAAATAGTTAATCATTTTAAAAATATTTTTTAATCAACATGTTTATTTATTTATTCAACCAAAGTAATGTTGAATTTAAAATTATTTTAAATTTTGATCATGATATTAAGGGACATCACAACACTAATTTCTTTTCTTTTTTAATTTGATTTTTAGTTTTATTGGTATATTATTGTTGTCAACACATTGTAAAACGTTTGTTAAAAATCTGAAATTATGAGGATGTTGCACTCACATGTGTTGTCTCTATCTTACACACGTACGATACAGTAAATTTTCGTTTACCAGTTTCAATAGTGTGCTTTTAGTTTTGATAGTAGAGTGAATTGACCTATTATCAAACGTTTGGTTAAGAACATTATCTTTGTTCTCTAGTTGTTTTTCTATGATATTTTAATTTTAAGTAAGTTATAACTTATAAGTATGAAAAATATAAATATTTGAAAATGCTCATAACTCACTTAAAAATTAAAATATTGTAAAAAAACTAGCAAGAGAACATAGATAATTTTCTTAACTAAAAGTTTGATAATAGGTCAATTCACTTTACTACTAAAAGCACACTATTGAAACTGGAAAACGAAAATTTACTTTATTGTACATGTGTAAAACAAACAATACATGCGGGTGTGATGTCCTCTTAAAAAAAAATGATTATTCAACGAGATAATGAGAATTGATGAATAGCTGTGTGACATCATAGAGACAATGAGTGAGCTGCCGCCTATGTTTTACACGTGAAAGTAGTTTGATTTACACAATGGTTGTAATAACTTAAAATAGTATTCAGAATTTTCTTTTCTTAATCTGAAATATATTTATGTCCTTGATATGATGGTATAATTTAATATTGAATGTATCTTGTTGTTGCATATTACATACATATTATAAATTTGAATTTAGTAAATTATTGAATTTGTGATTCGTGTTGTATACTCTATTATAACCAAATTTTACGAAATTGACTATAATAGTTTTATCTGCTGTAAAAAAACCAGAAAGTATATCAAGATTATAATCACACCAGTGTCATTAATACCAAAAAAATTTAAGGTTGCATAAAAAAAAAATTTAAAAATATATTTAACGATTGAAATTTTTGTGGTAATTTAGACACTTTGCATGTAAAACATATGCCGCTGTTCCGACTTCGGCTCTTTGATGTCACATGCATATTTTCAAATGTTTGTATCTCTTTAAATAATTGGTGTTCAAGTGTGAAATACACGCCACATTTTTTAGATAAAGACTTGAAATCTAAGAAAACTTGTTTTTAGTATTTTGGTGTTTAATATGGTTTTTCTAGAAACGATTTGAGAGGTGCTGATTAGATTTATTTTCTTTTTAGACAGATAAGATAATATTGTCCACGCCTTAAAATATTATTGAAATGGACTACAGACGTCTGTTGCCGACCTCAAACATACTCATATTTCAGTAATCCCGTTGTTTCTGAATAGTTGACTGTATGTCCATACACATTCTGCTTACTTTTTATTTAATATACAAAATGCTGTAAATTTTAAAGTATCCTTATCTTCGCAATTAAACAATTATGTGTCTGGATTCAGTCCTGAAATATCCTCAACAGATGGTTAAATGCTTATTGTAAAATTTATGATATCTAGAGTGGAAGTGCTAAAAGGTTTAACGTTGCACAATACTTGACTATAGGAAAATTATGAGTTAGTTAATTTTGAAATGTGTATTTTTAATGTATATTTTGTATATTTAAGTGCATATATGATGATATTTTAGAGCTACAAGTTCTCTGCCTTACTTATAAATAATTAATTTATCTTATTTAGAAAAGTTGTATATTTAAATTTTTGTATAATATTCTAAATGAAAATTGTTTCTTCCCTTAATCCACTTATCATTGGTATAATTATGGATATGAAATGTATTATATTTTTTAAACAGAGATATGATGAGGGTAATTTCAATTATTTAAGTGAAGTAAATTTAATAAAACAAAGTAATGGACATGATATTATTGATGATTTAATCAAGATATGTAGTAAATCTGACAATTTATCCAATAAATCAAAACCGGCTCAAGTAACAATAAGTAATGGTAAGATAATATTATGAACACCTATTCATTATTTCTTGTAACCTTAAGTGATACAATATTTGCAATTATTTTTGATTTATAAGATTAATTTATATGTATTGATTTTCTAACTGTACCTATTTTTTTTCCAAGGTAATTATTTAGAATAACTGGTAATTTTCAAGACATTTTTAAATTATTATGTTTATTATGAATGGATTAATATAGTGTATGTTTCAATTCTCAGGTTCAAATATTAATAATTGGCAAATTTTGACTGGAGATATTGTTGAATTTTTATTTGGAAATAATACTGACAATATTTTTGTAAGAAAAATAAAATTATATGAAGAATTTAAGAATGTTTTAGATCAGCTAAAAGAAGAAAATAGTAAGATATAATTTTCCATTAAATTTATTATTTCTAAAATTAAAAAAAAAAATACTGAGATAAGCAATTTTCCCATATATTTATACCAAAGATACAAATGTTTCAAGTAATTTAGTTAACTTGGGTGTGTATATTAGCAGGTATAATAATCTAAACTAAGCTAATAAATAATAATAAAAAAAAAAAAATGATCTAAATTTTTCTTTTTTGATACTATTTTGATATTGATGAATCTAGTTATGATGTAATATTTTACTTAACTATTATTTATGAAGAGCTTAATTAGACTGAGATTTAGGATTGGTTTTGAATGTTATGACTTATGAATGTTTTAGATATTTTTTTTAAGATCTGGATTTCATTATTATTAATATTTGGTTTATTAAATTTATGTGAATATTAAATTGAATTTGTTTATACTATATTTTGTCTTTTTTATAGGTGAAAATTACAAACCAATAACCCCAAAGACTAATGATATTGTTGCAGTATATTCTACTAAGTATAATGGGATTTATAGAGCTAGAGTCATCATGTTAAATTCTGATGATACAAATAGGGTTAAATGTTCTTTAATTGATATTGGTCAAATTGATAAGATACCACCTCAAAATATATTTTTATTGCCTAACTATGTTTCATTAAATAAAGTGAGTAGAAAATTTAAAAACTGATTAAACATTACTGAATAAAATAATAATTAATAAATTAAATTTATTTGACATAGTATAGTAAACAAAATTAACTACTTCTAACGAAAATTCCCTGAAAGTTTAAGCAATTTCCAAGAAATTTATATACAAACCTATCAATTACAAATAATTCTAATATTTTTTATTTTCATTTATTAAATGATTTTTATATTTTTTGTAGAATAATAGCAAATTTTATAAAAGTGCTTTATCTATTAAAAATATTAACAATATTCTTAAACCAATATGATTTAAAAAGACTTAAAAAAAATATCTTTTCTCTGTAATGTGTCAAACAATGAAACATCATGGCATCATGATGCCATCTCTAGAAACTGCAGGGAAATCGTACTTTAATGTATATCAAAATGCTACACATTTTTTGTTGACCACATTAATTGTAATTTTTTTTCTTTATAAAATGTATTAATCGATAAACAGTAAGTTCTAATGAGTTGTAATTTTAGTTTATTTGCTAAGCTTTAGAGATAAATTAATAAACAATTTTTTTTTTAAATTTTAATGCTGTAACTAATGGTATATCCAGGGGTTTCCAGGTTTCGAATCTCTTCCCGAGAAGAAAAAAAAATTCACGGTGTGGGATTGTAGCTTCGCTTTGTTCATTTTGTCACTTAATAGTTATTTTTAGATAGGTTGTTAGTCATGTCCACTGTGTGTGAAGGCTAGCCGATCTTATTATTGTGAACAGAATATAGAATAGTTTTTGTTTCATAATTGACATATTAGTCTGCTATTTTATTTCTTAGAATACCAATGTGGGATGTTACCCATATGAAAATGTTTTTTTTTTTGTTTGGATTAATTTTGCTTGAATGTTAAAAGTTTTTCCTTTTTTTGAAGATATTTTCTTAAATGCTGAATGTTGATAGAGGGTACTCAGGGAATCACTGGTTATTATGAAGTATATCATTTGATTCTAAAATATTGACAAATTTTACATCTAAGTAGATGGCATAATTTTTGACAGAAAATAGTGCTTATTTTTGGAAGTTTGTGTTACATTATTGTGTCATCTTAAATCACAACAAAACCTACTCGATGTTCAGAGTTGATGTGTTCATGTATATTTTATTATAGTTAGGAAAAGTGTGCTGAATTGTATATTTGAATTGAGAGGTAATTATGACATAATTTGTTTCATTTTTATTAAAGTTGATAAGTTTGGTATTTTTTAGTTCCTATTTATGAAGTGGTAAATCTTTGAACACAATTCTGTTTTGACTATGTAAGACCATTGTTGTAATTTGCTGTTTTTTTATTTATTGGAGGTGTACATGATTGTTGAAAATGGTTTTATATTCTATGTAGTTGTTCTTTTCCTTCTGATGATGTATGCTAGTATGTCTTAAGTTTCTTAAGAATTAAAGGGGTATTTCTTTGTTGTAATTCAAAATGCTGTCAATTGGGCTTGTCCTGAAGACTTTAAATGCTAATCGAATTCTTTACTGTGAATTGGGTCCAATATCTTAAAGAGGTTGGATTTAGCTGTATTGTGAACCATATTTATAAAGATGGTATTTTTACTTATATTTATTTTTAAAAAGAGAAATATTTTGCCATTTATTTTGGACTTTGGTTTATTTTAAGGATATTGTTATGATGCTATGTCATTAGCTTTTTATTTATCTAGAGTGATTAAACAGAAATATTTGTTTTATTTTGATTGCTTATGTTAGTATGTAGTTTTAAGAGTGGTTATTGTAGAATAGTTTTGGCGGAAGCCACATTTTCTTCATTGAAATTATTGATTGTCTCTAAGTACCAAATAAGACGTTTTTTTACAATTTTTCCTATTGTGTATATGAGTGAGATTAGTTATAGTTTACCGTATTTGTGGTAGCTCCCTTTTATGGGTAGACATGTAATCAACTAGTACATCTATAAAACTTAGATGGTCCAACATTTTTTTTTGGTGGGAAGGTGGTGTAAGCCCCTAAAGCTCCTAAATACGCCTATGCCGCAGTTACTTTTACAAATTGCAAAGGAGTTTTAAATAACAAACTAGTTATTCTTAAGCTTAAAAATGATAGTTTTGTTTGTTAACTACATTAATAAAAATGTGCTTAATCTAATATAATCAATAAGGCTCAGAAATTAGAATTGCATATTGTTCTGTATGTTTTCAATTTATACCACACCAAGTTAGAAATCTGAAATGTAAAATGGAGTGTTATAAAATTGAAAATACATATTTTGTTAATTTTAGCTAAAAAAGTGCATATTTCATTGATTTGATACACATATTATAAATGTTTCATATTTTTTTTTAAATTAGTTTTTTTCTTTTTTAACCTGAATATTTCAATTAATATTGAATATAAGACTCAAAATTATTAATTAAGGTAATAATTGTCATCGTTTCAGTCAACATTTAAATTAATAACATTAAACCTTAACCTAACTATTGGTGATTCAATGCAATAATTTAACAGGTATTAGAGAACATGTATTTTTTTTATAATTTCTAAAATACTGAAAAAAATTTTTAATTGTATTTTCGACTCAATAAGATGTCAAAATGTCAACCAGTTATAAACTTTTTTCAGTTATTTACATTTTTTATGTATATTATTATTTTATTGATTTATTAATAACATCTGATGCATTTATTTTTTTGGAATTTAGAATAATTTTTTTGTATATTTAACATTTTTAATGCATATTTTGTAATTTTTACATGCATATTTTCCCTTTTTTAGCTCATACAACTTCCAAGCTCTAATTGCCTTTATAAGTTATTTAAACATTGTCAGTATTTTGAAATTTATTTTACCAGTTTAAGATTGAATTTTGTGGAAGAACATTTTCTCCAATAGGAATATTGAATTTGTTTTAAAAATTTTGTAGTACTGTAATAGATTTAAAATCAATATACTTTGTTTCAACAAAAATGCTTTGATTAACTGGCCACTTGTTCATGGTTACTGATAAATTAAAACATACATTATGGACTTAAATCTATCAACAAATTAGTTTGTTTTATCTACTTTGGTTTATAAATACAGCTCTTTTTAAATTGTCAGAACCCAGTGCCATACCTGTACATACACATAATTAACAGTAAAAATGATTTTATTGTTAAAATTTTGATTAAATTTAAATTAACTTTTGTTTATTAAAAAATGAATGCTGCTGGATTTTCGATTAGCAACATAATACATAGGAATAGTGTAGCATATAAAAATTTGGGCAGATTGCTCTAAATATAATAAAAAAATAATATGACTTATATGAAGTGTAATATTTTATGATAGAAATCAGTGGCATAGCTATATATTAAAATGCTTAGCTGAGGCAAAATATTTTTTCACCCTCACTTTAAGAAAAATTATACTACTCCGCAACAAAAATAGTCCTCAAAGAATTTTTACACTCTAAGGCAACTACTTCTGTAGTCATAACGGTAGCTGCGCTAATGATAGAAATCATAGATGTGTTTTTCTTACCATTTCTGTGCTGTTGTATGCCAATGATATAAAAGAGTAACAGTTATGAGGTAATAATTAATAGTAAGCTTAAAATGAATAAGTATAAATAACAAGTAAACAAATAAAATGGAACAAATTTGTTAAATTAAAACTAAAATATTTTTTAAGATGCATACAATTAAATCATAAATTATTGATTGTAAAATCTACATTACCAAGATTTAAAAAATTTAAAGTTACATTATTTTGTTAACAATATTAAATTTGTAGCAGTATAAATAATAATAAGATAAAATATTTATGTTACAGTATTTAATTGTACTAATTACTTATAATTATATTTTCTCAGGTACCAAATATGGTCCGTAGAGTGACACTTGCTGGATTAAACAAGATCTTAAATACTAAGATAACTTCATATCTATCTTTACTGAAAGGAAAAACATATACTATGGCATGTTAATTTTAATAATTTACTAGTACAATATTTTTAATAATTAAAAACTTTGTTTTGTGTTCATAGGAATATAAAAAAAAATCTGACCAATGGCATAAACAAGAAGTTATATTAAAAGAATTACAAAGCAATTTGTCTATTAATGATGAAATACAAAAATTATTTTCTAATGATGCTTCTTTTGTTCCTCCTATATCTCAACAACGACGATTAGAAAGAAAAATTAGTAATAATTTGCTATTATTTAATTAATTAAATTTTAATATTCATGAATTTTATTTTCATATTAGTCATGCCTGAGACAAAAGAAAGTATATTGGAAAAACCATCTCATCCTATTAAGAGTGGTTCATCTGTTTTTATAACTAATTTTGAAAACTTCAATTCAATTTTTATCCGTGATGCATCATATGAATTTATTGAGAACTTTAATACATTTAATAAAGATATGTTGAAATATTATAGAACAGGTATATTAAATCATAATAACTTATTTATTAAGCATGTATATTTCAATATTTAATTGTCTACATTTAATTTTTTAGCTACTAATAAAATCCCCAAAGAAAACTTGAAAGTTGGTGATAAAGTATGTGTTGAAAATTCATTGTTAAATTTGGTTATGTATTCTCGGGCTCTCATAATCGACATAATTGATAATGAATACAATGTTTTTTACCTGGATTATGGGAATACTGAACTAGTAAATGTTGAAGATATAATTGACTTACCAAAAGAATTAGAAAAGGTATTTAAGTAGTTAGAATAAATATATTTTTAAATAATCATAAATTTTAAAAGATGGTTTATAATCTCTTGTAGTTGAATTTCTATTTTGAGTCTTTCAATGTAAGATTTTTAAAGGTATATACTTGTAGTACATATCTTGTTAATTTTCAAATTCTTAGTTATGTAACATTCCACAATAATTGTCTCCAATATTATTTTTCAATATGTCACATGATTTTTATAAATTTTTGATCTTTTAGTTAAGGGAATAAAAATCTTGCAAGAGAATTTATTTTTGATTAAAAAAATAATTTAAAAACTTATAATAAATTATTTTAATTGTTGCGCAATATTAGAAAATTTTAAACATTAAGTGACATCAAAATATTAGGGATATTGGTAATTTAAAATTCACATTATTTATTTAATATTACCACAAGTTTTAAGTTAAATGTAATAGGCACTGTGCAAATGTCTTAAAATATTGCTCTTACAAGACTTAAAATAGGTTTAAAAACCTATTTACTATTATAATATTCTTTAAGTCTGTTTGAAATAATCAATTTATATTTATATATCATATTTTAATGAATTAAAAGATCTATTCTGAACCTAATCTATGTCAATATATTTTAAATTGATGATATTTTTTAGTTTCAAGATTTTGTCATAAAAGTTCAACTACAAAACATGCCACCGTTAAATACTAAAAATGATATTCAAGTTATTAAGAATCATTTCAAAAAGAAATTTATAACACCCAATGCAAAACTTTCTATTGTAAGTAATTAAGAATATTAAAATTAATATTTATAAACAAAGTCTTTATTTACGCATTAATTTTTGTTAACAAAATTTATGAGATTGTTAAAGGTTTGCCAAAGTAAATAAAATACTCATGAAGTTACATTGTTATAAAAAAATCATCTGTTTCTATCTTAAAGTTATTTTCAAATATTAAGTGCTGCATAATTGACTGCTACATTTTTGAGGTGAATTTTAAAAAATCATATAAGATTTGGAAAAAAATTATTTTGTTCAAATGGTGGTCTTGACGAGTAGTAGAAATACGTAGTTATTCTTGAAAGAAGTTTTCCATCTCTCTTTAGCATATTGTGTGAATCCCGACTATTTTTTCATGAATGGTATCTCCCCATAAGAAAAAGTTATAGGGGCTCAGATCAAAAGATCAGGTGACCATAAAACGTTTATTGTAAAATGGTGCGAGATAACAGGTAGTTTGGACTGTAGTTCCATCCTGTTGAAAGCAGAAGGTATAAGTATTTTTGTATTCTTCCATTTTTGGACACAAATAATTCTTTAACATTTTGCAGTAGGGGAGTTAAATTCACAGTAACAGTGACTACCTTTAAAAAAAAAGTAAAGTTTGATGATGCCTACTGAGAATAAAGCATACTAAACTGTAATTTAAAGACTGCAAAAAGGTTGTTGGTGTACTGTTCGACTGTCTAGTAACAAAAATTTTGCTTGTTTTCTGTCAGAAATGTAGAAATATGCTTTGTCGTTACTTTACATAATATCGTTAGGCTTAGGAGGCGTAATTGTTAGAACCGCATTACAGCAATTTTTTAATATTCCCCAGTCTGGTAGACTCAATTTCTGAGCAATCGTAGTCTTTTATAGGTTTAATTTAATATCAAAGAGCAAAATTTACTTTACTATTTTTTCTTATTTCTAAGAGAGCAGACACATGTTTCTAAGCAGAATGCAATGAAGATGCTCTATTGATGTTTTGATGACGACAACGCTTTCAGGTATTTTCATGGATTTGGAACATCCAGCTGGTTATTTAGACATTGTAGATCGTGTTGTCCTTAAATTGTGCATACAATTCAAAATCATTTTTCGATCAGGAATATTGCCGTTTAGAATTTAAACTGAACTGAGTGTAAAATGCTCTGTGCATCGCAGTCATACACTCAGCATTTATGGAAAAGGTCTTGTTAACAAAACCACATTGTTTAATGGACCACGCCATAGTGATGACTGAAAACCTTATTAATTTCCTATTCTAACTAAATGAACTAATCCATTCTAATTGTTTTGATTACTTGTCAATAATTATTTGAAATATGGGAGTCCATCATGCTGCATTCTGTAAATTGAGCCTTAATCTTAAAAAAAAAAAAAGCTGCACTATTTAGTTTTATTATGAAAAGCTTATGTTTTATATTAAAAAATCATCAGATTGTATTTTGTAAGTCCAAAATAATTAATACAATATTTGTATATCTTGGTTTTTACATAAAATTGCGATATGATGATATATATTTATGTATATTAATTGATGAACGATATACAATGGTTATAGGTCATTGAAAGTATTGATACCATCCCTAAATCCTAAAAAAATCTATCTCCTTTGCAATGATCTCCTCATTTTCTCTAAATATATTATTTAATAGGTGTAAGTGTGGGGAAAACCAGTTGTAATTGAATAATGATTATTGATTTTAAATTATGATATTAGTTAATTGCCAAGAAATATTCATATAACTTATATAAAATAATTTACAGTAGTTAAGACAATTTATATAATTTCTATGTATTTTTATAATTTTTACATTTGAGTTTTAATTCAAATTCAAATTTCTAATTTGTTGGATTAAATTTCTTAAAGTTGTTCAAAGGTTAGAAGAGTATGAGGACCCACTTTTGATTTTAACTAATAAGTGGAAAGTATCTTGGTAACACTGAGGTATAGAATAATGTAACATGTTGTATAATTTTTAATTTATTTATTTTTATCAATATATTTTTTTAAGTAACTATAGATTATGCATGTTAATGAAAAAAATATTATTCTGATTAACAGAATATTTATAATCCATCAAACTGTTCACAAAATAAGTATATTCATGTCATAAATTTAAATCTATTTAATTTTCTGTAATCAATTTATTTTATTACTATTTTACAAATTATAACTATTAACTATTGAACATTTTGGTTAGTATTTGACATGTTTCTACTTATTTATTGAAAGACAAAATCTAGTTTTTTGGTGTTTATTATTGTTTTTTTTTTTTTTTTTTATCGAAGTGTTTTATAAAATTAAGAATTATGTTTCAATTTTTAATTGTTTTAATATTTATATTTATTTGGTAGGAATTTAATGAGTTCAATCCAAAGGGCCTTGATGATGTCGTTTTGAGAACAGAGTATTATAAAAAGGATATTGTTGAGGATATCAGAGATTTACTAAATGCACCACCATTGAGTATTAAAATAACAGGTAAAAATGTTGTATAAGTATAATTAATATGGTATTTTTAATTTTATAACTTAAAATAATACAATATAAATTCCAATTAATAAATTAATCATTTGGTCACTTAGAGTATTATTTTTAAACAAATGTATAATTATCTTAAATCTTTCATCAAATATAATATAACCATTGAATTTATTGCAATAATATGGTTGTTTTATTAATTTCAGTATATATTTATAATAATAAAAATTTAAAAAATATATTTTTAGGGCAAAATAAAAATACAGAACAACCAAATTCATCTCATGGCATATTTCCTTACCCTGCACGAAGACTGTTATAAGTAATAAATGATTACTATTATATACATTGTATATCCCGTTTTATTTTTTAATTTTATGTTATCAAAAAAGAAGATGCTTTTTTTTATACATTTTTATTCATTAACTATTTTATAATTTTGTTATTAATTGGTTAATATTTGATAGATTTTTTTACGTTTAATAAACGAAAAGTAAGAAAACTTTTTTTGATTATGTAATAACTTGTTTTTGTTTGAAAAATATTTTTTAAGAAAGTGCAATTTATTTTTAAATACAATCTTCATTAAGATCGTCTATTGAAAAAAGTTTTTATTTATCAGCAAGTTTTATTTTGAGTTTAAATATTTTAAAAACAGTGTATGTATTCATAGCATATCTGTTTTTAACAAAATAAAATTATCATTGAGTAAATTTAGTCATACTTATTAATTATTTAAACTGTGATAAAAAATATTGAATATTTATTTACGAAATCTAAAATAATCATTCTAATATTAAACCATCGATAATTTAAGGGAAAATTTTTTTTCGTTGTCAAAAATGCTCAGTACGTTACGAAATAATTGGAGAAAAATAGATATCGTAATGAAAAACGATAAATTTATCAAAATAAATGTTGGTAGAATCGGTTGTTTTTTATTCGATTTATGAATAAAAAGATTTTTTGTAATAAATTATATTAATTTCAAGACTAATTTTAAGTTATTTTATTAGTGATGATTGATGAGTGTTGACCATCGATGATATACTATTATATTGGCTTTAATTTTTAATAACGATATCGTTTTGGAATAATTCAATTTATCGCGATGTCGAATCAATGTATAATTTTTATTTTTATTAAAATTTTCGGTCATAGGTGCTGCCAGGAATTTTATCAGGGGGTGCACTTTAGTTGAGTAGATGGCTATTAGGTTCATATTGTAGATAGAATTAATATTTCTATAAGAATTGATATTATTCACTCTTCGCCCACCGTCAACAGTTTTTAATGGATACTTTTCAATCAGTAAATAATATAAAAGTTACCCATACATTTATATTATGCTAACTGAATTACTCGGCTTTACCCAAGTGTAGTTTGTGTTATCTCAAAATTTTGCTCAATTTTATCAAGTGCTAGCTGAATTATAAATAAAATAAAAATATTGTTTGCGCCGCAACCGCTCTTACACTGAGGTTGACGCCTGCGACTTGCACCTAAATTGGAAGGCTGGAAATACTGGAATTGGACAGTGAATATATATACAAGAGGAGCTTACAAAAGAAATAATAATATATCAAAACAGTATAATAATATATATCGGGGCAAACTGCTTGACACAAATAATAGTAATAGGGAAACTGAAACGGCTGAGTTGCTTGAATAGTTCTTTGGAAGATGGCGGATCACGAGGTCTTGACTGAACTGGATTGTTGCTCTATTGTGTCGAAAACAAACGAATTAGTGCGCTGACACGTTATTAACAACACTTCGAACTGATGCGTGTGAGCAGTTAATCAAAAATAATTAATTTTATATGTTGTGTTATCCTGATAAACAAAAAACCGATTTTGAAAGGAAAAGATCTATCAGCTTATATCATTTAGTATATTTCATGATATGTTTATTGATATTGAAACTAAAATAATTTATATTACTATTTGCATTAAGATAGGTCAATTAAATTTTTTTCGAAAACTGCATTTATTGTACTTCTTATATTTTATGATTTAGGCATCTATAGAGAAAATTTAATATAATAGCTCAAAAAGAATTTAAATAATATTAATAGTAAAAAATACTAATGACGTAAAAATTTGGCTAACAATTTAAGTAACTAAGGTACCTATTTATTTTTAAATTTATACCAGAAAAATACAATTGATTTTGTTAAAAACTGGTTTTGTGTTGATCAAATCCATAACAAGCTCATTTGACGCCTGGGGCAAGTTTGAGTATATGTTCTCCCCTTTCGACAAAAAAAAAAAAAATCTCATCATTTTGAAAATGTTAAGTTATTATATATTTGTTTATTAGAGAAGTATGTAATAAGCGACAAGTATTTATTTTAAAATTCATTTTAATTGGCATACAAAAAAAAAAATTTCATAATTTGATTTTTCTTGATTTGATTGCTGGCTTGCCGCAAATTCTTGTCTTCAAAATCAATTTCTCTAGGAACTTCATTTTCTATTGATAAAATAGCCAAATTTTAAAGTCTCTCCTGGCAGTTGATCTCAAATAATTCTCAATGAGTTTGGTTTGCTAAAGCTACGTTCACATGTAGTTACAGTTAAATGCATTGTCAAAAAGTTCTAAATATAATTTCTATGTTTGAATATGATTCTTTTAAATTGTAATCTTGAATCAGCTGAAGTAATTCAAAAACTGTTGCAGATTTAATATGGTTAGGAATAATTGACTTAACTACATGCTGAAAATGGGAAATCTCATCAATAAATAATGCACCACGGATATCTTTTTCATATTTCATTGCGAAATCCATCACGCCTTTTTTTAATTCTTTAATACTCATGTTGTACTAGACAAAAATCTAAAATTATCAGCAATTTCTATTAACTTTTTATATCTCCAATTGATTTGATTTATGAAAACATCAATTGCATTATTAATATTGATGCGAAATTTTTGAATTTCTGAAATATATACTCCATCGTCTCGTCTTTCGTACAATTTCAATCTTTTTTTTTTGAATCTCACGTATGTGTTTGTTATTCCTAAAGTAGTAACTGATGTAGAAGTGCGAGTAAAATTTTTTTCGAATTCTGTGTTATGAAATTCCTGTAGTGAATTTTTTAATGCCTGAATCAGACTTGCAGCTTTATCCAAAGTAAAATTTTTCATTTATAAAGCTTTAGTAGTTTGCTGTACGATCAACTTGACCTAATATTTGATTCCAAACGTCAATGTAAAAAAGAAATGTAAAATTAATGTTTTTGAATAGACTTTGAGCAGAGGAAGTAGTGTCTGCATTTATGTAGTAGGTTATCATACGCTAATCTTCTTTGAGATAATCATATCTTCTACGCCGTAGAAATTCCCGATGTTTTAGTTTTTTAGTTTTTTTTCCCCCAGTTATTTTCAAAAATACTGTGAATTTTTATTGTTAATCTTTAGTCTTTACCTCTTTAAAGTATAAACTATATCAAATTTTTTTCATCAAATACCTAGTATTTTAAAAGTTGATGATTGAAGCATTTTATGTTAAAAAAAAGAATAAAATTAAAAAATATTTCATGATGTTTATAAATAATATAGTTTTTGAATTACAACAAAATATCAATATGGTTTTTAGCTTAAGAACTTAAGTTTGACTAATTTTTGTACTTAATTTGTAAAGTTACTATAAAATGTTAATTTTTGACTCTATTAATGTACCAATTAAATTTAAATTCTTATTGGTAAAAATATTTAAATTTAAGTTTGACGAATTTTACTTCTTTAAAATATAATTAAATATACATAAAATGACACATATTATTGTAAAATCAATTCAATATTTATGATCTAACTTCAAAAAAAAAAAAAAAAAAATTAACTCTAATATAATTAAAATAAATGCATTTTTAATAAAAATGATTATTTATTTACCCTGTGTTGTCAATAAAGGATAAAACAAAATACTCAAAACAAGCATTAATATAATTTCATTTTAATAATTAAATACAATTACTGAAGTATTGCTTTTACTTAAACTGTTAGTAACTATTTGCTATTAGAAAATTATATTTTATTTTAAAAACAATTTTAAGAGAAGTATTTACTTTTATTTATTCCTTGTCAATTGTTTAATTAATAATGCTGTTAATTAAAACGTATAATTTGAACAACTGTGATGTACATTTGTTATAAATAAACAAATATTGCATTAAATTAAATAGCACATGAGTTAATAAAAAATTATAACATGATTATAATTTATTAATATAATAAATTATATATTTGACTTTTTGATAAAGTATTTCAATATTTTTTTAATATTAATTTAATATGGTATTTAGTACATAATAATGTGATCATCTAAATTTTAAATAATTTTTAAGATATATTGCTTGAATTTTCAACAATATTCTCTTTTAAATACGGGACTGAATGTATGTGTAATATATATGTATATATTAAAATTTTAAATAATTAGCAATTAATGTTTTTCGGTTCAATGGGTTTCACAGAGTGGTAGGAGATTAGAGTGAGTGGCTTCACCGAACTCCGTAGTGGCGTAGTATCTTTAAGAAGTCCATCAGGCATCGTGGATTGTCTAAAAAAGTTAATTAAAGTTTTAACGGTATCCATACAGTTACGGATTATCGGAATTTCACAAAAATGGGCCATATCATATTTGAACTTGTGCATTTTTTTATAGACAACATTTTTTTGAAGACAATTTCTGCATAGATTAATAATTTCATGATTGGTAACGTGTACATTAAACGGATGGTTGTATTATACACATTTTGCCCGTTCCATTGTTACCTCTTAAAGCTTTTGTTGGCGACTTCAGAAAATTACAATTTCAACAACGGAAATTAATACATTTTTATATTTTTCCGATTTTTATTTTTTGAACTAATAGAATTTATGATATTAGAATTTTTTCTTGTCATAAGCCCTCGAGCTTTTTCAACTGAAAACTTGTGATAGCCTGCCTGCTTTTTTTCAATTTATAAATGAGATGGCCTCTAAAAATTGTAGTTTTAATGCACTTCGACTACCATTATGTCTATAATAAGGGCCAGAGAACACTCGAGTTTAGCGTAGAGCTCCTTTGGCCTTGTCTGAATATACCAGCCAAGAATATTTGCCCATTCAGTGTCGTCTGAAGGAAAGATGTCTTTTAGCTTTTAGAAAAACTTAATTTTTCTTCATCATTTATTGCTAGATTCCTTAAATATTTTCCTACATAATTTTCAAATAATAGTTCTTGTTTTCATTTAATGGAAGAAACGTTTCTGAAAGAACTTGAAACTTCAGGGTCAGCTGAGTTACACGCTAAAAAAGATGGATGCTGATTAATTTGGGTGGTTATATTTGTGTATTTTTGGATTTTAGTTTCTTACCAAGAAAGTTTATAACAGTTGACTGA